TGTACCCAATTCCTTTAGACTCGGTAATATTGTGGATGCTATTCTTGAGATAGAAAAAAAAGTGAACTTTCTTTGGCTAATCCATTCTTTTCTCAAAAGTAAGTTTTTTCCATCTTGTGGGTTTTCTGTTTTATTGATCTTATGAGTTGAATTCGATGTGTATGTATTAATTATATCATGTCTTGGTTTCCCAAAGTATGCTGGCCTTTTGACTATATCATTGTTTTAGTTGTATCTGTTTGACTGTGCATTATCTAGCATCGGCTTGGATGCTCTTTTCTTCATTGTTCATTTAAAATGATAAATGTGGTGCATGAAAAAATTATTTTTAACCATCAGGGGATGGTTTTTTTTTTTTTAACTTATTTATTAAATTCGAAATATTCATATTTATTATTTAATTTTTTCGATATAGCTTATTTATAATCTGTTGCATTTTAGTCTTTAATTTAATGCATTCCATTATTTATTGTTTTATATTTCCAATGCATTGAAAATTTACATTCATCTGCTGATTTTAATTTCTATTTCTAATTTTGCAGACTTTATTTTTTCAATTCTTTAGTTGATAATCTGTCCAATAAATATTGGTCATTTGAGAAGTCTCTTTTGCATGCATATAATGTTATATCAGTCTCTGTTTTTTTGGTATGACCAAAAGAATACAGATTTTAATGGTTAAGAGGTTTAATTTTATTAAAATGGTAAATATGTGATGCATGAAAAAATTATTTTTAACCATTAGGTGATGGGTTTTTTTATTACTTATTTATTAAATTTGAAATATTCATATTTATTATTGAATTTTTTTATGTCGTCTATTTATAGTCTATTGCATTCCAATCTTTAATCTGATGCATTCCACTATTTATTGTTTTATATTTCCAATGCATTGAAAATTTACATTTATCTGTTGATTTTAATTTTTATTTCTAATTCTGTGGACTTTATTTTTTCAATTTTTTTTTGATAATCTGTCCAATAAATATTAGTTATTTGAAGGGTTTATTAACCATTAAGTGATGGGTATTTTTGTTATTTATTTATTAAATTCGAAATTCAAAATATTCATATTTATTATTGAATTTTTTTTATGTAGTCTATTTATAGTCTATTGCATTCTAATTTTAAATCTGATATATTCCACTATTTATTGTTTTATATTTCCAATGCATTGAAATTTACATTCATCTGCTGATTTTAATTTCTATTTCTAATTTCGTGGACTTTATTTTTTCAATTTTTTTTAATAATCTGTCTAATAAATATTAGTCATTTCAAAGGTCTATTGACCATTAGGTGATGAGTTTTTTTGTTATTTATTTATTAAATTTGAAATTCAAAATATTCATATTTATTATTGAATTTTTTATATAGTCTATTTATAGTCCATTGCATTTCAATCTTTAATCTGATATATTTCACTATTTATTGTTTTATATTTTCAATGCATTGAAAGTTTACATTCATCTGCTGATTCTAATTTCTATTTTTAATTCTGTGGACTTTATTTTTTTAATTTTTTTTATAATCTGTTCAATAAATATTAGTTATTTGAAGGGTCTATTCTCCATACATATATAATGTTATACCAGTCCTTTTTTTTTTTCAAGTATCAGAGAGAGAACATATCGATGGCTAATATGTTTGATTTTATTAAGGATCTTAATCCTTCTAAAGAGCAATGGAGGATAAAGGTTAGAGTAATTCGACTTTGGAAGCAAAAAAATTTTTGACAGTCAAAACTGGGTGATAATATTGAAATGCTCCTTTTGGATGAACAGGTCAGAATTTTGTGTTCTTGAATTTGGTTTTCAATGAGTATTCTAAAGTTTGCTTTTCACATCTCTTACTTCTAACATTTTTTTATGTTTTGTTTAGGGGGGGAGGATTCAAGCAACTCTTAGGGCTTCTTTGCGTTTTAAGGATGCTTTTACTGAAGGAGGAGTTTATACAATTTCGAATTTTGGTGTTTATTTGAATAAAGATCCTTATAAGC